CAGAAAGCTTTCCGACCTTCTCCGAAAAGCTAGGCGTTCAGATGTAGTAATAGTGGCTGGTGACTTTAATGCTCAAGTAGGTAAACTAAGCGAAAAGGAAAGACACCTGGGTGGATCTTATGGTGTCGCGGTTCAAAGAACAGATAACGGCGACCGTCTGTTGCAGCTTTGCTCAGATAACCGCCTGTTTCTTGCAAACACTAACTTTAAGCATAAGGAAAAACATCTTTTAACATGGCGACCCTCTAATTGGTCTCAACGCTGGACCCATATAGATCACATCGCTATCAGCCACCGATGGAGGGGCTCGATAGAAGACTCGCTCATTCTGGAGCACATGCTTAGACTCAGATCATGCTCTAGTGCGAGCGCGTATTTGTCTACGTCTTACTGGACGTAGAAAAGATCGTGCAAGGAAACCTCTTAGGGTCCTACTTAATGATAATCAAGCTAAGAGTATATTTCAGGAACAACTAGAAAAACAGTTAGGCAGCCATGTAAGCGATGCCCACCCTGAGGTAGCGTGGAATGACATCCGAAAAGCTGTAGAAACGGCAGTGATGTCTGCAAGTACGGTAAACCATAAGGTTAGGAAGAAACACTGGATCTCAGCAGCATCTACCGCACTGATAGATGCTCAAAAACTCATTCCATCTGGCTCTGAACATAACGAAGAGCGGAGTCAGCTTAAGCGTAAGCTGACTAGAAGCCTACGCAAAGATCGTGAACAGTGGTGGGTAGCGAAAGCAAGAGAGATGGAAAAGGTAGCTGCAATAGGTAACAGCAAGCAACTGTTCAGATTTGTTAAGGAAACCGGTATTAGGAACCCAACTGTTAGCGAAACAATCGCAGAGAAAGATGGACATATTATTCATTCTCAATCCAGTAGATTGGATGCGTACATAGCCCCTGCCAGGGAAGTCCTACTCACTGCCTTCTCGTGGCGGGGGTGTTGTTTACAAAAATGAGAGGACGAAAAGCGAATGTCTGGCGCTTTAACCGGACCCCAAACCAATGGTGCACATGGGCTCCAGTATCCTGCGGGAACAAATGGCGTATGAACCAATCGTTGGTCACCGGCTACCATGGGACTGCATCTCCTCACGATGCTCCACTGCCTTGTGGGTCAGACGTTCAGGTCAAAGGCTTGGGGTGTGGCCCCCTAAGACAACCACCTGCTTCGGTTTGGGCACCCGGGCAGTATCACAGCCCTCACACAAATCAATTGAGATTTGTGTGGCGCATATGTATTTTGGTGCCTCCCTGTACCTATACTTATGTGTTAAAATAAATAAATACAGTAGATTGGACCGATGGGCAGAATACTTTAGGGATCAGTTCAACTGGCCTTCAGCCACACTTCGGTTTCCCACGATCTCCAGTCGACCTGAATGGCAAGTTGATGTAAGTCCTCCGACTCTTTACGAAGTTGAAAAAGCTATAGGAAATCTGAAGCGTGGGAAAGCAGCAGGCCCTGACAGGTTTACCCCTGAGATTTTTAAGGATGGCGGTCCAGTATTAGCAGCGAGATTGACTGAGGTCTTAGGTAGAATCTGGGAACTGGACGTAATCGCACATGATTGGTCTCAATCACTGATTGTACCAGTCTATAAGAAAGGACAAAAGTCCTCCTGTGACAATCACAGAGGAATTAGTTTGACTAATAAGTGTCTAAAATATTAGCTTCAATAATACTTCGACGTCTAACCAAAGCTATGGCAGTGTTTGTCACTGAAAGGAGTACTAAAGAAGTACATCAACCTTATAAAGGCTCTCTACTCGAACACAACTGGTCGAGTGAGAGCTTATGGCGAACTGTCATCAGAATTGATTACCTCAAGTGGTGTTCGTCAGGGCTGTCCACTCTCTCCATTCTTGTTTAACTTTGTCGTTGACGTCCTTTTAGAGATGACACTTTCCTCATCTAAATTTCCAGGAGTTGAACCTTTACCGGGAGATCCACTTGTTGACTTAGAATATGCCGATGACATAGTTCTATTTAGTGAAGACGCTGACAGAATGCAGAGTCTGCTGACCACTCTAAGCAACAATGCAAGCCTGTTCGGCATGCGATTTTCTCCCTCGAAATGCGAAATGTTGCTTCAAGATTGGGTTGCGTCGACACCCGAACTAGTGATAGGGAGTGAAGTAGTTGAGCGTGTCGACCGCTTCACTTATCTCGGAAGTCTCATCAGCCCTTGTGGTTTGGTGTGTGACGAAATCTCAGCACGGATACAAAAGGCTCGACTAGCTTTTGCCAACTTGCGTCATTTGTGGCGTAGGCGAGATATCCGTCTACTAACAGAAGAACGGGTTTACTGCGCAGCCGTTCGTTCCGTCCTAATTTATGGCAGTGAAACATGGCCAGTAAGAGTAGAAGATATTCGTAGGTTACTAGTATTTGACCATAGGTGTCTTCGAAACATCGCTCGTATATCCTGGGACCACCGAGTAAGTAATGCAGTTGTTATGAAACGGGTACTAGGTAAGGATGGCAAATCAATTGATGAAGTAGTGAAACTTAATCAGTTGAGATGGCTGGGACATGTGTTGCGCATGTCAGACCACCGACGTGCGATGTTTCATGGTGTAGGAGTAGGTTAGAAGAAAGCTAGAGGCGGCCAGACCAAAACATTTCAGAAATCCATGAAGTTACTGACAAGTGGACTGAGTCATGTTGGTAGGCTTAGACTACTTGGTTGGGGACCGCGAGACGATAGCAACCGATGGTTAGAGACCTTGAATGACATGGCTCAAAATTGTTTTCAATGGCGCAGGTGCATCCACTCTTTGTGTTCTCTCAAACTCTAATCTTCTGAATTCTTCATGTCCTTTATTTTCTTTCCCAATTTATTTCACTGGACTATACTCCTTTAATAACATCGTCAAACCTTGATGTCCCCTATCTCTACTTATACTTTCAGTACCTCTACCACTATGGGATTTGAATCGATAACTGAATCTCTGTGCTAATGTGGTATGGCAACTCGAACTGATGTACGTACGTACGAAGTTCCACGTTGTTATTGACTGACTGAATTCGCAAACCATTATTTTAAGGCGTTTGAGTCCGATCTCCGGAACGCCTATTCATCCCACCTTAGGGTCATATAAACCAGTTGTCGATTGTTATGATTTATGAACTTGACGTTGCAGTTCAGTAAACTGCACGGATTTCTATCCAGGAATGTTTCCATATACTGATATCTATACCATTCGTCAGTTGTATGTCATTCAACTGGTACAAAGACCTGCAATTTCTTAAAAGTCAATAAGTACTGAAATCCAGTCGTACCATGACTTTCTTGCCTTGGATTGTTCATTCATTTGACTGCTTCTGTCCGTTTTCTCTTAACTTTAAAATTATGTCTAGAAACCCTGTAGTACCTCGGGATCTTAAGAAAATTGATGTACGGAATCAGTTAAATACTAGCTGAAGATAAATAAGCTGTTCTGTATAACTAGTACATTGCAAACTAGGAGAGTGTTTCTTATCCATTGTTTTATAAGATGGGCTAGTTGGGTGCTCCATATATATATATATATGCTCTTCAGTTTGGTCAATACAGTATCCAAAGCACTAGCTTTCATAATTATCTGACTTCTAGCTGGAGGCCAGGAACATCTAATCAAGACACGGCACTAAACGACAGATCGATGTTCGTTTTGAGAAGTACGGACTTCACTGTTGCCGTGTGTGTGATAATTATGACCAGTGGTTGGGAACCTGAAGTGACATTTTCAACCTAATTTGAGCTGCGTATACATCTACATGTGTTCATTCTTAAATTTTCAATCATAATTTATGCTTTTTGTTTGCTTCGTTCCTTATAAGATCATTCTGTATGTCTAGCATTATTCTAGTATTACTTTATGTTCGTTAATTCTCTCTTACTGATTTAGTAGTCAGTAATGAACAATGCACAGGTGGGGACAACCGAATGTATTTAATAACAAATTACAGAGAATCTCGATAAAATCTGAGAACCATATATTAAATCGTTAATTTGCAAAATATCAATCCATCATGTCAAACTTGACTGTTCCTGTTGCAAACATCAATCCATTGTCTCAGATTTCATTGTTCATGCGTTTTCATACAAATCCCATTCTGTTCCTGCTCTTCCTTTCTTGATCTTCCCCCATCTTCTGCTGCCAGACATTACGTTCCTAACTCGCGTAATATACTACTTATGTCTACATAAGTAGCACACACCACACTCGTCCCCCCCCTTTGAAGCATTCGTTCTTGCGGTGGTTCATGCTCGCCGTGCAACATTCTTCCATGTGCAGTCTGTGCTACACCCTTCGTCAAAATGTCGAGTCTGCGGCGCGCTCACCTCCATAGCTCCGTTGACCTGCCGGGGAACCAACATCCGACCTCCACCTGGGACGTCTACACCCGTACTCCACCGGCCTGCTGAGCCATCCGATGTCCGCTCAGCAGCCGCACGTCCCACCGCCCCTCTCCGTCGACAGCACCTGCTACAGCCAACGCCGCCACGCCAGAACACTCCACCAGACGCCACCTCACCGCATCAGGCTGCCCCAACCTGCACCTCAGCTCCAGGCCCGCAACGGCGTCCGCAGAACAGCACCCCCCTCTCCTGGTTGGCAGCGACACCAAATGTACTACGTGAATATTATCTGTACACTTAACCCTACTGTCTAAATTAGCTGGGATTCGTAAGTCTTAACGCTTTAGGGAATTATATCTTATTGATCCTTCTTTATGTTTTTAGATATCTCTCTGTAGCCTAATACTTCAAAATGCTTTCAGAAAAACGTAAAAAAGTAAGGTATTCAACAGACCCAAATGGGAATCTTTGGGCTACCGATCCCAACAATTTTGGCAGAAAAATGCTAGAAAAATATGGTTGGGCTCCTGGAAAGGGTGTAGGAAAAAACAGTAACGGTATTGTAGCCCCTATAAAGGTATCGCTTTTTATTTCCTAAAATGTTTTTAGGCTTCCATACAGAAAGGCACACGGGGGCTGGGTATGAAGTCGGACTTTTGTTTGGGTATCCGGCAGATTGATGAATACGCAAGTCTTCTGCGTAAGCTTAACAACGCCCACAATAGTTCTGACAAGACAAATCCAATCAGTGAATGTTTGCCAATGAGTTGGAGAAGAGGTATGAAGACTTTAAGGGCAAAGGATGCATCTAAGTATGATAAGCAAGATCTATCCATTGTTCTTGGACATAGTCAGTCATTTTTGGAAGAAAAAATAGTCTCGTCAAATGCTCCTGCAAAGAAATCTGATTGTCAAATTCCTACTGTGATAAGTCCAATGTCTGTCTCTGAATATTTTGCTAAAGCAAAAGAACGCAGTCTCCAAAGCGAGCCACAAACTTGTGGTGTGTTATAATTTTTGCTTTATTAGATACCTTAGATTTGGTTGATAAAAAGTCAGCCAAGTCAATGGAAATTATCGTCCCGGTTGATCAACACCCTACATCAGTAAGCTTCAAACTTTGTGTGGATTATCATGATAACAAGAATTCTGTTTCAGTAAAGATTAATGATAACGAAGGCTCCGAATGTAGGAAAATTGAAGAGATATCAAATCACGAGGACGTTGAACTGATCATAACACCCATAGATCCTGATAAAAAAATAAGGCGTGTCGAAACTGTAAATGCAGGAGAAAGTAAGTAATATCCCACAGTTACTTACCTTTTTTGTAGATGTCATTAATTCTCTATTCGTGCAATCCAACTTATTGTCGGTGCCTGGATACTGTTACTACTAATTATTTTTGAATAAAAATTGTACTAACCAGTTTTTTGTTGTATTCATGGCGATCCCAAAGTAACAAGAAATCATGTCTTGTATGTATTGCCAATTAATGGTAAAGTAACACTTATGTAAGGTCATTCGATGTTTACTTCAGTTTCTAGTAGTTGCGTTTTTTTATTTTGAAGTGTAAAAACCTTCTAGTGTTTTTGTAGCTAAGTAACTACGCTTATTCTCATACTGCTATGTGATTATAGTCCTACATGCTGTAACGGTTAAAAAAAGTAATTTCCGTCTTCGTGACGTGGTCGTTAGACGATTTTAAACTTTATAAATATTTAATGGGGTGGTTAAAGTAATATTAAATATCAGCCCATGAAGCTACTGACGTTTGATCTTAGTCGTTTCAGTAATTTTGAAGCTTGTTGTTACGGCTCTCAGAGTAATTGTACTTTATTGTTCAAGTGGCATGACTTACTGCCGATCAAGGTGTTGCAAATGGGTTATTATTATTCTGAATCTTCAACTTAGTATCATGTGATACTTACCATCATCTCTTGAATTACGTATCATGTGTAGGTTTTTGGAACCACTGATACCATTATTTTGACTCATTTGCTTTTTATCCCAGTAAAGTCCTTTCACTACATTCATGTAATTTGACAAACCAATAAAAGTTTGTGCCAATTCCGATGTTATATAACATAGGCTGTTTGGCCAGTAATCCTTATTTATCTACAAAGTAGACAATTAACTATACATAAATGGTGATCGATCACTTGTTCGTTGACATAATGCTACCACTCATGAAATTTTAATTCGCTCCTTATAAATGACCGGTAATTTGATTTTATTGCGAAGTACCAGTACAATGTTTTGCAAAATATACCATGATAAATCATCACTGATGAATCAGGACTAAACGAAGAAACTCAACAAGAAGTCTGATAAGTCATAGTACTTCTGACTGTACAGGATAGGTGAATACAAAAAGTCAACGTCATAGTACCAACAGACAAAGGTAGTTATGGATATCAAGAACAAGTCTATAACAACCATTAGTGACAAATCCTGTTAAAAAAATTAGTTGAATCAACAAAACTCTAAGCAAACTCGTCAAAGACAAACTGCGAAACAATCAGTGGCGAGCAAAATCCACTAAACTCGTCCTCCCTCGATTTTACAACAGATCGGTGTTAGACAAATTAAATACCTTATCACAAAGTATTGTTACGGCTAGGCAGTTACATTTTGTGCCAAGAACTCTACATGATAACAAGACAGACAGAATTTCGTGATCATTATATCGATTCTCCAACTTAGTCCACTGACTGCACAAGTTTCTTATAACTCACCAATCTGTGTTTTACAACATATATCTTATTCAACAAACATACCGGTGAAGCTAATAGGATCCCCTATTTCACAAACAATTGCAGATAGAGTGATGCAAAGACCACAAAGTACATTTCTACTAGTAATCAAACTGAAGATTTAAATACGTAGATGACACATTCGTTAGCTCGGAAATACTTAAGATTTGATCAGCAACGTCTTCAATAATATCGAATTTACAAGTCAAAAAGAAGAATAAGTTAAAACATTCCCTGAACGTTTGACTTAACAGAACAAACACAGGAACTTTGGAGATACAATTGTACGGATTACCAAGCCACACGTATAAAATGATAAACTACAACATTACCCAAAAGCAGTTGTAACCAGACGCTATTCAGAAAAGTGGAAATCCACAAGGGTACCCTGACAACTTCATCAAAAAAAGTCTGACATACAATAAGAATACCAACCCTAGACCAGAAACATATTTTCTTACCACATTTAAGAAACATCGCAGAAACCATTACAATGATCCTAAGGTCCTATGGAATTGATTTCGCCCAAAAACCTATACAGTCACTTCATCGCATCTATACCAAAATACACGACAGGGAATAAAATACAAATCTAACCTGTACAAAGTAGATTGTACCAACTGCTATATCAGAACAAGTGGGTCCTCCCTTTACTTAGGTCAGTTTCCTACAAATTATCAAGGATATATACGGGACGATTCGTCTGCAACAACATTAGCTGCCCCAGATATATGTTCAATATCTGAAGTAAACTGACAAATGTAGACAGTTGTCGAGAACATTGGGGAGAAATAAACTCAGAGAGACTGGATTTTTGTACTTGGCAAACAGAGTGAGTGCTCCGCTCTTTGTCGAGTGTTGACAGTGCAGTACGATAAATAGTTGGGCATTATCCAACAAAAGTGCTATACCTCGATTCGGTGTCTTGCAATGTGAAAGGGTATCATGTGTTGTTTGTCCGTCTATTGTGTCATGGATGGTTGACCATCACTCTTTACTGATGACTCTTTTGGTCTTCACATATACATCGGTTCCTACCTGTGATTCACTGCTACCTGATACAGAAGCCATTTAAGCGAAAGATTTGTTATTCCTGTACATAAATCTTTTTGAAATATTTGAACGATAATTAAAACAAAAATAGTATGAGACTTGATCAAGTGTTGTAAGTGGGAATAAGTAGATAGCGTGACAAAAAATTTGTATTATACAATTATAACAAATAAATAAAACACAATGAGTACTTATACAAATACTCCGAATTTTATAGCCATAGATGTAAATAAACAATAATACTATCATAACAACTTTTTGTCTCTACATTAATAAAAATAGAGGGGAAATGAAACAGCGACTTGTCCATGTGTTATAATTAATGATACGTGGTGTTAAATTGTAATTGTATGGTGGGAGCTTGGTTATGTACGTTACCATGATGTACGTTTACTTGGGTTCTTATATTCAGGAATTATTAGGTATTGATGTGCTGTCATTACTAAGTGTTTTGTCTGAGGTATCTTTTAGCATGAAAATTATCTAGTTTAAGTTATTCTGTCATTAAAATTATAATAAGCTCTCTCGTTATATAAATAATGATACGGGGTATTATTTTTTCCGTTAAGAGCACCGTTAGTCGGACAGCTGTCGTCGAAAAATCACAACATAGTTTTGTCAAGTGTGTTGTACATCCAAATTCTCTGTATTCTTTCGAAATCTCGAATCATTCGCCAAATATCCTGGTCAAAAGTGTACTCTTCTTACCGTAATATTTCGAGGTTATTGGGTTTTTGATGCAATGTTGTACTTAAGGTTTTACTTCACTAACTTTTGCAAGAGACTTTGAATTTTGGTTTATGACTTAATAATTCAAACGGATCAAGCATTAACTGTGTTTTTATGTATGTGATTCTCTGGATGCAATATAGCTTCATGGTTTATACGATTAAAAATGTGAGAACAGGGATGGCAAATGTTTTAGAGCATCTCCATTTCAGTGATCCATTATTTGTGGCTTTTCTGAGATCTGTTGATAGAGATTACAATCACAAACTAGATGGTACACCCCATTTGTTCGTAATTCACACATACTTCAGTTAATTATACCTAGTGACATAATAATCGGTGAGACTACAAGTTTTTGACGACCTTTGAGTGATGTTTAAGTGACCTCAAGACAACTCACCTACTTATTAGCATAATAAACTAGTGTGAGGATTTAGGATTCAAATTAAGGTTTTCCATCACAAGCAGACGACGAGTATATTATCGAAATAATGTTTGTCTGTAAGTATAAATAACTCTGGCCACGAAACTTTTGACGTTCTGTTCTTGATAATATCATTTCGTCCATGAATTATAATCTAGCTTTGCAAACTTTTTGAAGATAAACATGAGGATGTCGGTTTTTACTCTAGTTGTAGCGGTGATTCGAGCTCCCAATATATCGGGAGCCGCTTTTGTAAAATTAGGAAAAATGGCACGAAAATCCCAAATTTTCCTCAAGTCTGGAGGTTTCCCCAAAATTTCCTTATTTCCCTGCTCGTATGTTAGAATGGTCAGTAATTCGCAAACCCCCGACCGTAGCTGCTACCTTGACGTGGTGGTCGGGCTTGCCTATCGTAATGACCCAACCGAGCTGTATTGCAGGAACATGTGTTCCTGCAGGTTCTACCATGCCAGGCAGGTCGATTGGAGAACGGTAAGACTAAAAGCAGCAACTCAAGGTCTGAGGGCGAAGTCGTACTGCTGACTGTACAGAGGTGTGACAGCAGTAAGGTGTTTCCCTCGGACAACCAGCATCTGCAGCGATGCTGCCTTCTCACAAGGAAGGAAGGGGTTAGAAAAGGTTGACCCTAAAAATGTCACACCTCACATTACCCCACGGATTTCCGTCTCCGGCGGTAAGGCCCTTTGAAGTACGGAGCTAACACATTAAAAACCTCCCACAAAAAGGCCGTGCGCGACCGGCCTCAAGCAGTTGTCCCTTGGGCTCTGCGGTCACGCACCCAGGTCGTTAAGACCAACACTAATCCGACTTCCTTTTCAGGTCCCTCAAGAAATACCCTTCCACGGTGTGGGCAACCGGGAAGTGATATCAGCCCTCATACCCGCAACAGCAAACGAGAACAAGTTGGTCACATTCAAATCCTTCCTACACCTCCTAATAACTCTTATCTCCACGACTAACCCTTCTTACTTCCCTTTATCACCTCGCCCCGCTAGTGCGAACAATTCGAGTACGCGGAATGTTATTCCTGGTCTCCTGAAACCACGCTCCAAACTACACGTAGGAGCTTTCAACGTCCGAACACTGTGCCAAATAGGACAATAGGCTTCCTTAGCTAAGACTTC